ATTTTTCATTTCGAATAATTTTATTTAATGTATAAAGATTCATTTACTTAATAAAAAAAAAGTTTAATAGAAAAATGGAATTTAAAAATTTTTTAAAAAAGCCAAAGTTCCGATTTTTTTTAATGCTCAAATTAGATTCAAACCGGGATTGAGAAAGGAGAAAAACGGTTTATACTATAAGCTTTTAAAAGCATAATGTTTTACTTAGAGGCGGTTTAAAATAAAATTTTATTGATAGTTGCTTATTAAAAATTTTTAGTTTTTAAAAAAATCATCATCGCCATTAATTTTGCCGGGAGAGGCCCTCCAAAGCTTATATGTCATCCAGGGGACAGCCAACTATTATTTTATAGTCTGCACAAGTTTATAACGAGATAATTATTTATTTTTTTAAAAAGTATTAAGGGAATTTTCAATAGCCATCTTCAATCTTATTGCCATAATATCATTTTTTAATAAAAATAATAACAATAAAACAATAAATAATAATAATAATAAAACAATAATAATGAATAATAAAAAAGAGTATTGTATTTGAGAAAAAAATAAGAATTAATTATTGCCGAGTTGAATAAACTTTATCAAAATAAAGATCAACATTGCTTTCCAACCGTTCTACACGAATAAAAAGTTTACCTAAAAGATTGTAAATATCTTCATTACTAATACTACTATTACCAATATTACAACTATTATAATTGTAATGACCGTTATCAAAAGCATTATTTTGTGGTGAATTGTTGCTTGCAAAAATTCTTTGGTTCTTACTTTCTTCAATTTGATTAATACGTTTTTCAAGACAAGTCAAAAGCCAAGTAATATTATTATTGCTTTCACAATAAAAAGAAGAAGGATCATTTAATAATGGGGTCAAGACTAAAGAGTTCATGTTGTTATTGTCAGCAATGGTAGTTGTAGCACCAACGTTTGCAGTAGTAGCAGAAATGATATTTTGATAATTTGGAAATGTTTCAGTATTTTGTTGTTGTTGCGCTTGTGGTGGTGGTGGTGGAAATTGTTGCATGATAACATTGTCATGTTCTAAATATTGATTTGGATTATGATGATAAATGCTATCATCTAAATTGATTTCATTGGAATGTTGATGAAAATTATTTGTTAAAGGAGGTATAGAGAAATCATTCTGATTATTAGTTGGAGGAAGCACAGAGAATTTATTTTGTTCGTATGTTAAATCAGAAGGATCTCTATTATAATTATAATCACTCATACTTGTAATAAATAATGATTTTATGATATTCGATTTTATATTTTTTTTATTTTATTTTTTTTCTCAAATAACTTTCAAAAAAAAATCCATCCGTTATTTATATGTATTTCATATGTTCACGAATTCTATTTTATCTATAGTTTAGGTTATACAACCTTAATTATAATATCCTTAATCGCGGCAATAGTGGTACGAAATACGAATTTACCATGATATGTTGTTTGCTTCATTGCAAATAAAAACATTGTGTTTTGAATAATTTTTACACAACCGTTTACAAATACGAGTGGTATATTGAATATCTACTAACTTAAATAATACTACCCCTTTCATTATTTGTCAAGTATATACGGTGCAGATCATCTATAATCATTAATTGCTTATTAGTCGGACGACATTTCACAGTGACTGATTTTAATATATGATCGACATGACACGTTTTCTGTACAACGGACTT